CACTCAGTTATTGGATTTTGAGGACACAGATACTGCAAGTATGTAATCAGAAGGTAAACCACCTGCGGGCGGCATCTGGATGTATTTTGAATGTAGCGTCTGGCACGTATTTTTGAGTGGCTGTGAACGCTAACTTTGTAAATCCTGGCTTGGGTATCGAGTCAGTCTTTTGTTTTGAGTCTGTCTCTTTGTCTTGAGTCTGTCTTTTGCTTAAGGGTCTGTCTTGTTGTAGCGAGTCAGTTCCCCTTTTGTATATAATACTAGGTGATTCTGGGGTTGTTGCCTCGAACACCGTTTTGTCTTGTAATTACCTGTTGTTGTTTTTGAGTCTGTTTCTACCGAGGGGCCAGTTGCACCAACAAATCTGAATGAAACAGCTGTTGCTATCTCACTTTCGTGCTTGCTTTCGGTATGAGTGCTAGAGAATTTGAATGGGCTGACAGTACATCTCGCCTGCTCTCCTACGCGCCAAGCTCATTGCATTAACCTAAGTTTTTCAAAAACCTCTTTTGAACACTGCGGTGATAAGAACGAAGAGGAAGGAATTCCTCGGGTTTTGCCAAATTTTGATCATTTTGAGAGAAAGAGAGGCGTGCTAAGCCTTTTAACGAATGAAATCATGCTTGTCGGCATGAGTACTGAGAAGGATCCAAGCTTGATCCAGATTGGTTTCACACTATCTTCGGCGCGAGCGATTTGTCGCTTTCTTAAAAACTTTCAAAAACAAATGTTTTACGCGGCCCTATGAAGACCTGTGTGGAATCGCTCTTGAGATTACGCAGCCTAGGGTCGCTCTCAGCCTCAAGATTCAACCCGTTCAAACTTTGAACCAGTTCAGAACGTTCAGAAAGTTCAACGGTCGAACATCATGCAAGGTCTGTATGGCCAGATCAGGAGCAGCCCTCGACCAAGATGGCGCCGAAATTGAATCAAGAAGATCAGATCTCACCAGAAGAAGCTCGTGGAGCAACCATGATGGATTCTCCCACAAATCATTGCAACAACCGTTCTCCTAGACACAGAGAGGCTTCAACTTCAAAAACCATTTGGCATGGACTTGTTACACTTTTACCCCTTGAGAGGCTCGCTGGGTCGAAAACCCGGAAGGGCGGCCCAGGAAAAAGTTAGAGCAAGAGAAAAATACAAAAAGCAAGCAAAAAATACAACAATGAAAAGAAAAGAAAAAAGAAAGAAAAAATACAAAAAAAGAAGAAAAAGAAATAAACAAAAGAAAAAGAAAACAAAAAGAAGCTCGCAGGGTCGAAAGCTCGCAAGGTCGAAAACCCGCATCGGGCGCCTTGGCAAAAGTGAGAGCCTAAAAAAAAGTGAAGGTTAAAATACCCGAGTGTACCTTAACCGGAACTACGTAAGGCTTGATTCCCATGTTTGGGATACGTAGGCAACTTCATCTTGAAGTCCAACCCCCAACGCTGTCATAGCGCCTCGGTCCATGCAATGGTTTCAACTTCATCCCAAAGTCTAGTCGCCAACGCTTCCAAGGCGACTGTGTCCATATATTTGTTGTGACCGTCTTCGTCATCGCCATGTCCAAGAGCTCGACCACCGCCAATGAAGACTGTTTGCGGATTGCTGCGGCATCATCCAAACAAGGGGCAACTTTCCGTTGCCACGAGTATCCAGACAAGGGGCAACTTTCCGTTGCCATGAGTCACCATCCAAACCAGGGGCAACTTTCCGTTGCCGCGCTGTGCGTTTTGGAACAAGGGGCAATTTTCCATTGCCTCCGATCCGAGGTTGTGCATCTCGAGAGTAAGTTCTGTGCTCGTTGAGTAGTGACCGTTTACAAAAATAGTTTTTGAGAATATTTTTACTGAGGTTGACTATTTTCTCGAAAACTATTCCATTTTCCAAAACTGGACCATTGTTTTGGACCTAAAAGGAAAAATTTTCAGTGCTTACAGCCTAACTTGCATGATTTTCAAATAAAAAATCAAACAAGTACGTTAATCTGGCTCTCATTTTGATCAAAACTGTTTTAGTAGAAAGCAAAAACAAAGAATGGTTAAAGTGATGAACTAAGGGCACAGCTGAGCCAGGCGCTCTGTCTCCCCCCCGTCGTCAACATACTTTCCAGAAGGGCACTCTACCCACCAGAAGAAATAGCCGTGAGCTAACGGCATTGGGCATGAACCCGCAACTTCCTATTCCTTCATTGATCACCTTGGAGAGGGACAAAAAATGAGAGAGTGAAAAATAAAGAGGTGTGAGTTGAGAGAAAAGTGAGGAAAAGGGGTTTGAGAGAAAATCCGAGCTTGAGTGCCAGAGTGATGTGAGAATCACAAATGAGAAGGGGGTGGGAAACAATACCCAGATCGAACTGGCTCCTCGTGATCCGAGGTCCCCCGTCTTCGTTAACGCGTCTGTATGTCGTGTCTTTTGTTTTGTTTATTTCAACCTTTGCTTTAGGTCTTTTTCGAGCGTGTCTCGTTATGTTTAGGCCGTGTACCTGTGTTTGAGTCCTCCCCGCTGTGTTCAGTTGTAGGCTCGATACCCCGGTTTGAAAAACCCTCATTCAATTTCAAAAATCATTTACACTCAGAATGTCGTGCCATTCTTTACATTGGAGCATGATCCAACCCCAACCGGTTCCGTCCTTGAGTTCCATCTTGTCAGATTGGGCTATTTTGTTTAAAGTTTGCTGTGTGCAGAATGAACCGAATGTTGTGCTATGGGCTGTATGCAGATTAATCCCCAGCAAAGTAAGGGTTGTGTCCAGAATCAGGCAGTGGGCTGCTTAGGCTGTTTTGCTGTTGGCTGTTTAGTTATCTGATTATTACAGTGCAAATTTTCGATTTTCAGACAACCAATCAATTTCATTTACATTGAGATGTAACATGATGGGATGCGATGCAATACACAAGATATGTAAGTGTAACACTTTTTAAGCAAAAATCTATTCATTTCATAATCTTTTTCAAGTACAAGGTTTTGAAGAAAACAAAATCTGCCTGCGGCAGTACAAAGTACCCTAACTATCAAAAAGGAAAAGTACAAGAAAGAAAAGAAAAATAAACAAAAATCCGCATCTGCGTCAAGCACCCCAAGGGCCATCAGTCTGTCCTGGTCCTCTTCCTGGATGAGGGTCCAGGAGCATCATCAACATCGTCGTCAGAGCCCGAGCTAGAACCGCCTCCGGTCTCCTCCTCCGATGACTCTGCCTCCGCCTCTGACTCCTCGTCATCATCATCATCCGGGGCTGGAGCTCGCGAGCTACTCCCAACGTAAGTGCGCCCCGCCTTGGTGCGGGGGAATACTCGGCCCTCCTCATCTCTCCCTCGGGCAGGGACAGAAGGTCCCGCTGGAGCACCTCCTGCCATAGGAATCTGGAAAGGAGGCTGAAAAGTACATAAAAAGGGAAATACATCAGTATACTGTGAACAGTTTAAAGGTGCAGAATGCAGTGTATGAGTATAGTGTGAGAATGCCGTGAGCAGTTTATCAGTGCAGAATGCAGTGTATGAGTACAGTGTGTGGATGCCGTGAGCAATCTATCAGTCCAGAATGCAGAGTAAGGTGCAGAATGCAGTGTATGCAGTGTGTCATGTGCTGTGAGATCAGTGTATCAGGTGTGGTGCCATGCATCAGATTATGCAAAGCAGTGTATGAATGGTTTGAGGCCAGTGTCAGAAGAACATACCGGTATGCTGTAGAGGGCTAGGAGGTCAAATGTCCGCTGAAGCATCCCCATCATCGAGGCATTCATCGCCAACGACTGACGGGTGTACTCAGAAGAAGCCTGCAAAAGTATCAGATGCATCAATATTCTATGGAATGTCAAATAAATCGAAATGACATGATTGTACAAAGTGCAGTAATACATACCGGAGGTAAGTCGGGGACACCGACGAACTCGTGACCAGCTGGCGGAGGGGCGAAGGGCATCTGATAGGTCGCCCCACCCTGCCCCTGGAAAGTCAATACAGCAGGCAGGGCGGGCCAACCAGCCCCCCGTCCTCCCTGAGCTCCGCCCCTGCCATGGACGCAGGCCCTCCTCGCAGCCCCTACTCCAACTCCCGCTCCGGCCCCAACCGCCGATGCCACAGGCTTGGCCCCCTCTGCTCGACGGCCGCCGCTCAGGGGTCGCATCAGGTATGTCTACACATACTCCCCGTAGTCGCCGGTGCCTCGGAAGCCGTCCTCCTCCCAGCCGATAGTGTAATCATCCAGCTGCTCGGTGGTGAGCCTCTCGGTCTCCCTCATGTCCGCAGGAGGGTGAACCAGGACTATCTGCACAGATAACCCTAGGGTCTGGCGTAGAAAACGCTCCCCCAGGTACCAAGCCCGACAGACCGGGCCCTCCAGTAGGATCCGGAAACGCGAGGTCTCCTCAGCACCAGCAAACCGATCCCGCATCGCCGTCGGCAATGGAGCCCACGGCCGCCAAGTGATCTGAAAGTGCCATACAATTTGTTATCTACTTTTTTTTGAAAAATGCAGCGAAAAAGCGAAGCTTAAATTGACTGCAAGCAAAACATACCTCGGCCGGGGTAATGGTGTCAAAGTATCGGCGGAAGAAGCCGAATGTCTCTCGTGGCCGCCAGGTGCATCTCCCGTCAAAGCGCTGTGAGAAGGGGACGATCAAAGGAGTCTCTGTGACTGGTACGGGGGCGAGCCTAGGAAAGTAGGCGTAAACCCACAGCTGCAAGATAAATACCAGTGCATTTATCAGAAAAAGCAGAATATACAGAATAAAGCAGAAATAGCAGAGCCGTGTGTTGTGCAGTATATTGTGTACAGTGTACAGTGTGAGCAGTGTACAGCCAGTATGAAGCAGAATGTATGTGTGTGCCGTGTGTACAGTATATAGCAAGTATAGAGCAGACTACAGTGTGTGCAGTGTACAGAGTACAAAAAATATCGGACAGAAATGAAAAGTGGAGAAGAAATGTACCTCCCAAGCCCGCCAGTAGCCACCAAGGAGCCGGCCGCTGCCGCGCGAAGCCGAGCTCATGTACCCGTAGAGAGTGGCCAGAGCGGCGTCACCCCAATCGTAGTGCAGAATGTCCCAGACGTCCACCAGTGCGCTAAGAAGACAGAGAGGCACGGTGTTCGCCCGGTCGGCGAAGATGGTCGTCCCGAATAAGAACATCAGGAAGCTGCGGGCGTACCTCTCCACGTCCTCCTGAGTCATCTGAGCCTCCTCCTCCAACACGGGCTGGACCCTAAACTGTACCTCGAACCAGGAGTACCGCACGAAGCCTGGACGAGCAAGAGGTGGGGCCTCCCCTAGCAGATGGACCTGAGCGGCGGTCCACTCATCCATGTCGATGTCAAAAGGGATCGGATCACCCCCTACCCCAATGCCTGTGAGCATCGAGAAGTCATAAGGGGTCATCGTCATGTCCCCTGCTGCGGAAAAGTGAAAAGAATCGGTGGTGTCCCACCACCTCTCCGCCAGAGCGGCAAGGAGAGGTCTGCATGTGGAAAGCCTGGAGAGCCCTCGGCAGAAGGCGCCAAAGCCCGCCCGGTCCACTATGCGTCGGACTGCGTCAGGGAGCTCATCGTACCACTCCCGAGCGCCAGTGTTCCCATACCCGCGGATGGTATGGGAATCCTCCTGTAAACAGAAAATAACAATTGCAAGACAACATTCAAAATGCAGTTTTGAAAAAGAAGATGTAGCATGCGTGCAAGTTTGACAGATTCAGACAAATACCGAGTGCCGGTGTGCTTACAGTGAACTACAGTGTGTGATGCGTCAACATGTTTGAGGGGTTCAGAACAAATATAGCATGTGTACAAGTTTGACAGATTCAGACAAATACCGGGTACCGGTGTGTTTACAGTGAAAAACAGTGTGCGCCGTGTGTTTGAGTGATTCAGGGTTAGTGCAGTGTGTGTGCATGTGCCAATCTCAGACAGATGTCAGTTGTATGTATGTTTAAAGTCAACTACAGTCTACAGTATATCAGATTCAAGCAATTAAACAGTACAACTAGCTATGACAGTTTTGTATCCTACATTGCGGAAAGTAAAGCAGAAGAAAGAAAGTTACCTCGAAAACGCTGAAGGAAAGGTGGGAGGTAGGCTCGCGCAGTGGTAGCTCAAGCGCCACGTGCCTCTCGAAGCTCCGGAACTGACGCAGACTCTCAAGGGGCAGAACATGGATCGCTGGTCGGTAGGTCGCCGGGTCGAACGGGCCCTCGCTCAACGGTAGGAGCTTGACCCCGGGATCCATCTCGTGGTCCGGGGGAGTCCTGCCACGTGGAATGTCGTCCGCCATGTCAGGAATGATGTGAAAATGGCCGGAGAAAGGGAAACCAGGCTGGAATGCGAAGAGTCAACTGCAAAGTCAACTCTCGAGAGGAACGGAAATGGCCGGAAAGGCCGGAATGTGAAAAGGCACGGGAATGAAGAGGAAAGCAAGGGGAACAAACCCCGAAAAGGCGGGAACGCCAAACGAGGCACCGAAACAAAGTTTTGTTCGGTTGAAAATGTCCGAAACGCGAAGGAAATCGCGAATTCGACGACGAAACAGGCGTAGAACGCGAAGAAACGGGCGAAAAAGGAGAGAGAAACACTCTAGAGAGAGAGAGAGCAAGAGTTTTCAGCGGATGATGAAGTGAGAAAATAGGGTTTGAAACCCTATTTTAAAACACCCAAGGTGAATTGGCGAAACTGCCCCGACTCAGCAACTGTTTGCCGGTCGGCAATGTTTTGTGCCGGCCGGCAGTATATTGTCCCAATGGAGTTATTTTGCAGCCGGTGGGCAGCCGGTGGCCTCCCCTCCCGGCCGGTGGTGTTCCCACAGCCTTGTTTAGGCCATATGAGTAGTTTGTAGTCTTCATAGCTCAAGAAAGTGCAAGAAAGTGCATCCCCGACGCTCAACCAGCCTCCGTTTTGACCGCGGGTCGTGTCTCCTGCGCGTGGCGCTCGAATTCATGCAAGGTGTATCCTTTTTGTATCCTTTTAAATTCAAGAGCTGCCCCATGTGTGTTGCACGCGTTCATCACACTACTTCGGTGCATCGCATCGCACTGTTTTGTGCACCTCACTTGCATCTTGCATGTATCCTATCGCGCTATCTTGCGCACCTTACTTGTACTTGTTAAGTACATTGCATTGTTTTGAATATAAACCGGCTTCGCGTAGCGTATAAGTCCAATTTTCAAAATTTTGCATCCCGTGTGGCATGCGTGTCACACTTGTATCATTTTTGCATCTTATGAGGCACGCGTGTCTCATTTGTTCCATTTTGCATCTCGTGTGGCATACGTGTCACACTTGCATCATTTTGCATCTTATGAGGCACGCGTGTCTCATTTGTATCATCTTGCATCATGCTTCATTTGCATCGGCATGTGTGTCACTTTTTCGCTGGCATGTGTGTCGTCATTAGCATTAGCATGCGTGCCTCATTCTTGCATTGTCATGCATGTTCAACGGTCTGGCGAGACCTTAAACACGCGCGCCGGTCTGGCGAGACCTTAAATACGCACGGTCTAGGAGACCTTAAATCCTCAGGAGGTGCAATTCCTCTAGTGTTTGTCGTGCCCAAACGACTTTCGGTGGTCTGGTAAAACCACATGCCTATGTTTGCGGCAAGTTCCTAGAAGACCAACTAGGACGGTGGAAACTAGAGTTCAAACGGCTTATGCCTAGAACGCAAAGGTTCGGGAATTCCGAGACTAAAGTCTGGTTTAAATACCCAGGGGTTTACCCTCGGCTTGAAATCTGTATGGAAGCCCCATAGATTGAGGCAGCATGTCGGCGCCTCAGTTCTGGATACTGAACCAACCTAGTATGTCGCCCTGTTGGTAAGATAGGGAAAGTCGCAATCATAGTCGTTGCATCATAGTGCATTGTCATGCATTTGCATTGTAGCTTGCATGCATCCATTGCATTTTCCCCAGTAGATTGCATCATACTGCATTGTCATGCATTTTGTAAATATCCATTGCATCGTAAATTGCATACACACATTGCATCACGCCTTCCATCTATGGCTTGCGCCTTTCCATGTTGAGCTTGGTCTGGTATGTGCCCTTACTTTTCACGTTAAAACACAGTCTGCATGTGTACGCGCCTATTCCACGCTGGTATGTTGGTTTGAGGGTTGTGGCACCTTTTCTGTGTTAGACATGGCTTGTACGAGTACATGCCTTTCCTAGGCAAGATTTGGTTTGGCCTGCGTGCCATATCCATTGCATCGTAGATCGCATGCATGCATTGCATCACCTTCCATTTATGGCTTGCGCCTTTCCATGTTGAGCTTGGTCTGGTATGTGCCCTTACTTTTCACGTAAAACACAGTTCTGCATGTGTACGCGCCTATTCCACGCTGGTATGTTGGTTTGAGGGTTGCGGTACCTTTTCTGTATTAGACATGGCTTGTACGAGTACATGCCTTTCTTAGGCAAGATTTGGTTTGGCCTGCGTGCCATATCCATTGCATCGTAGATCGCATGCATGCATTGCATCACCTTCCATTTATGGCTTGCGCCTTTCCATGTTGAGCTTGGTCTGGTATGTGCCCATACTTCTCGTGTCGAAACATAGTTCAGTAGACCGTTCTATGTTAGACGTGGCTTGTATGCGTACATGCCCTTCCTAGGCAAGATTTGGTTTCGCCCGCGTGCCATATTTATATATATTGCATTGTAGTATAATTTTTGCATCCAGCATTAGGATCATTATCCTTTCTCCAGCGGGTCGTTTCCCCACTTATGTCATTCCACCCAATACTTGTCCTTGTGTCTGTCTGCAATGCTCACAGTTCAGTTGACCGTTCTGTGGTAGACAGACTTGTTACCTCCATCAATCTATTTGACATAGGTGTGGTTCCGAACCATTCGTGATTGGATCGTGATTCAATTGCTTTGCATATAGTTTTGCATTGTTTCAATTCATTGCATCTTCATTTGCATTGTTTTATACATTGTTTTGTATAATTGCATATCATTTTGCATCCATTCTTGCATTGTTCATGCATGTTGCTATGAATTGACCTGTTAAGTTTGTTTTTTCAGGCACGATATTGTAATGTACGGTTCATTTGAGGCTGGTGCAACCAGACGAGCCGCACAGGTATTGTATCTCCGAGTGAGACGTTTTGAGAATTACATAATTCTCTTACATCATTTCTGCATTGTAGTGTAGATTTGGTGTATGCTAGCTTAAAACCGTCGCATGTGTGCTCGTTACAGCTTTCTTTGCATGATCATAATTATGCTTGCTCTGTGCATTGTCTTGCATTTTGCCCTGCCTTCGAGCGCATATCTTGTTTGTCTTGGCATGTTTGTCTGAGTCTTCGGCCTTGTCAAAAATAGGTCGTCTCTGGGCTTTGACATTCACTCCGTCATTGTTTATGACTTTCGAGTTCTGTCAAAGAAGGGGGCAACTGTAGACACCCATTTTTGACCGTCCTCAAGACTTGGACGTCACCGTTTGAACACTCGGTGATTATCCATGTTTGTGTTTGTTTGGAGTTCCAAGGCCTCGGCTCGCGCACCTTGCCTCAGGATCTCCGAACTCACGCGTTTAGTGTCTGTTTTACACCAAACCTTGTGTTTTGCCTTGGAGGCATGGGAATGCCTTGTGAGGCATCCCACTCCCACCGGCATTGGCTAGAAGGCCACCGGCGGTTTTTGCTTATATATTGCCGGCCGCACTATTTGTTGCCGGTCAGCACTATTTTCTTGCCAAAATGGTATTTTTGGCCGGCCGACTACTGTGCATCTGCTTTTGCAGTATTTTAAGACAGCTGTCTTACTTTTTGCTCCCCTCCATACACGTGTATGGAGGGATCTCTTCTCTTGGAAGACTTGTCTTGTAAGCTTTACAAGACAATAAGCCTCTATAAGAGAGAGCCTTCTCTCTTGTTGCTAGCGTGAGGACACTGGTTAGAGACTTAGGATATTTTTTAGAGCTTAGACAGCACTTGTTAAGCTCTGTTTAGGTATTAGGGTAGATACAATCCCTATCTTCTATCTTTCCCTTCTCATTTGTGCTCTAGGTGTTTTTGTGTCTTCTATTGCACACAAACACCTAGTGTTTTACCTTGTCTACTACTGAGGTTCTAAGGGACTGATTTTGAAGTTTTGGTTGTTGGATTTCAAGCAAGGGAGGCCATTGGAGCAACCATTGTTTGAAGGGGAATCAAGGGTAAGAAATCTAGTCCCATTATTCCC